TTGGTGAGTAAACTCACAAAATGTGCACTTTGAATACGACGTTTCGCTGGTAATTACAACCAGCTACATTCGGTGATTTTTTTTTACCAGAATAGCCATCAATGTACCCGTATCCCTCATTGCCTCGCTCTAATGCCAAGCGAGCACCTCTCGATGCTCCTTTGCACACTTTTTTAGTTTTTTCTGTTCAACCTTTTAATGTTAATTGCCAGGTTTCTACAAAAGCAACCGCTTCACCGTTCCATAAATATCTGACCAGTGGATGGTTATGCATCCAGTCATGCAAGTTATAACATAATTTGGATTTACGCGGCGTGTATATGCAACTAACGAGACTGCCCGCGTGTTAGCCTGGGTAGAGAATCTAACTCAATCTCGTAACAGTTGCGCCGTCGCTCCTCCCCCCCCCAACACAGGCTGACAGTTTACTATAATGATGTTATTGGGAAGTGCCCATCCCTGTAGTTTAAACGGCAAAGCCTTATCGATATTTTGTTTACAAAACGTGGTTCTGCTGATGAAACAAGGGTCATAACCGCTCCATCGTTTGCTTTGCTTAGACGCACGCGCTGATAAACCCAACGAAAACATGATTAGTTTGTATGCACGGATACAGAACCTAAGTGACCTAATCACTCGCAATGCGCCCAATTTCGCCAGATCTGAACCGTGCAGAATGCTTCGGTGCAGCGCTGTAGCGCAAGTCGATCGGCAGCTGGCCGTGTGTGATGGGGTAATGTGTGGTGGGGTAATGTGTGGGTAATCTCATCACCTCTTTCAATACGTGTGGCCAGGGTGCGAGACACCCTTTCTGGGGGTGCGAGGCATGCCAGATTTGTTTTAGAAGGTAAATCATCGATTCGCAAATTAAGCACGGGGCACGTAAGTACAACTACTTTGTTTCATCACACCTATGTATTTATTAACATGTACATATTATCACGATTGAGAAGCAGTAAAGGTTAAGTACCACTGCTCTAGAGGGGCTCTGAAGCGCTGCCTACAGTATAGCGGAGACCCTTCCGCCAGCAGTGGCATGAACGAGACATTGTAGGACTGCACCTTTACCAGATTTTATCGGTAAGTGCACTTGGCTGTATCTGTAACCTTGTTTTTTTGTTACTTGTTCCCTAACTAATCCCATGACATAACGGTTCAAGTTGCAAGTTAATCTAGTGTGGCCCTGGTGAGAACAACGGTGACCTGCGTCACCAAAGAAACGACGGCACATACACAAAAAAAACTTGCGTCTTTCATAATTATATATATCATCTGTTTGTGTGGGGCCATTGAGGTGAATAATGAGCAGGGACCATTGTCTCACGTAACCACCGAGCTCGTACCAGCGCCTGGACGAAATGTGCCACTGTTTAGAGATGCATCATGATGATAAGCATCATCATAATTGGTCATAAATTTATATATATTTGACAGCAAAACAAACCTGTTATGGTAATGTTATGGTATATTAAGAAGTTTTTTTTATTGGGAAAGAATTTGCAATAACGTTTTTTTTCATTTCAACCTAACGCCCTTTGTCAATCCACTGCTGGGTGAAGGCTTCTCAATGTTGTGTCGGTCATGGAGATAATTTTACTTCACCGCACTAATTAGTTGAGGGTTTGTAAAGTTACCGGGGTGTGTGTGTGGGGAGGGGGGAACAGCAGCGCCTCCGATATCGCCAGGCATTGATGTTAGCCGTGCCCGGATGGCCGGGTTCACATATCTAGCGCAGTTCGCTAAGCACTGCGCCACCGCTCCTTACCCGTGCGGCGTCATCCGCAGGCACGATAACAACAAGCCACTATTATTATGGACTTGAACAGTTTCAAGCCTAAATATGATACTTCAAAACCATGACTCTTGCGGAATTTAATGCAGATGCTTTTCTTTACGTGTGCAGCGCCTTGGCAATTCACCGCGAGATGAGGGCCTATATATCCTTCCCCACGCCGTGCTGGTCGTGGGGCGTAATTTGACCCTACTTCACCATCCTGGGCCAACTGGCTTGACGCAACAGTGGGGGGTGTGGGCAATAGACGGCAGGGAACATGGCGAGCAGCAGATGGCAGTGCAGCAGTTGGTCACTGCATCTATCCTAAAGAGCATCGGTACGCAGAGGGACGGCTATGTGCAGGTGTGTGTCAGTATGTCTGCTTATTTATTTTGTTGCATCTATCTGTGCGGAGCGTGCAGTGTTGTCGTTGGGTTTTCTCCAGATATTTCCAGTACCTTTCCACACGCACACAGCCAAATCCATTCATGGAATTGACCCTCCTGAAAGTTAGTTCTGAGACTCGGTGAGGTTTTCCTGAGTCAATTAAGGTTGTTGTTGTTTTCTTATTTAAAGGCGCTCGATGGAGCGCACCGAGACTACATCCACCGCGGAGATGGAGCGACGAAATAATCTCGCCCGCGTGTAGGTGCCACGGCGATGTGGATTGTCTCATTGCGGGGGGGGGGGGGGGGGGGGGGCTTCATCCACCAGCGGATAGATCATGGCTGTTGATGATTTCAGTGTCCGAACACGTGCTGCAGGCTATGGGCGGTGTACGGCCGTGAGCTGCCACGTGACAGAGGGCACCTCGCGAACCAGACCCCACGATTCATGGGTAGAGCCGAGCGCCGCCTCTCGTATCGTTGAACGCAGCCCCACTGCCCCCGCCGTTCTTCACGCGCTCGCAACACCCACACACTCCAGCGTTCACTCGCCAACTCGCGCGGTCACGATTCAAATGTCGCCCGCCACTGATGTCAGTCTTGGCAGGGATTCGAACTCGGGGGCCGTCGGGTTATTTATCAGAGCGCGCGAACCGCTTGCCTACGCCACCGCTCGATCGTTTGCATGGACATACAATGCTTTACGGATATAAGCACCGCTATGTGATTCGGTTTTCCAATGAATGAAACAAGCGAATAAGGCTAATGAAGGGTAAGCAGCTACCCACGAAAGCACAAACGCCCGTGTCATCGTTTGAGTCGTTGTTTATGTAAGGAAGTCGGTGGCTGTTGTTAGGCGATGAACTGTCCGTTACAACTCGAATCGGTTTTTTTTCTTGTTATACGTATTTGTCCAGGAAAGTCACACTGAGTCGTAGGAATTCCTTTTCAAGAGGGTTGTGCCACATTGTGGTTTTATGTTAAGATGTGTTTCGGCCAATTAATAGTCGGGCGTTTGTTATATACACGTGGGAGCAAACCGGAGAAAACTACCCCACGCGCGCGGGTGACCAACGCTGTATCCCCGTACAGAGGGAAACATTTGGGGATGAGTCCACTTAATGTACCGCCAGTGACGGATTATCCTCGTAGCACAAGTAGCTACATATGTAGCTACGGGCCCCGCAATTTCAAGGGCCCCGCGCTAAATGCTTTCAAGCTATCAATTCCGGTTAAGCGATTCTGCACTTGCTCTATCACTATAGTACTATACCGCCTTCAACTTTTATGAACGACTGGGTGTTTATGGTTATCGATTTGTCGTATTATCTGGCTGTACAGCAAATAAAAAAAAATGCAATTACTTCCCCCCCCCCCCCCCCCCGGGGAAGGGAGTTTCACAACAATTGTGCGGTGAATAACAACCCTCGGTGGCGTTCCGTAATGCGACCGTTCCACACGAGCAGCCGCCGAATGTTAACGCTGTGGGTTGCTTCTCATTCTAATCTTTTGAAAATGCAACGAATGCGCTCGTGAATGCGGTGCTGTTTCCTTTTTTTTAATAGTTTGCGCAACACGGTAGGCCCCGAGCTCTCATTAAAATAATTTCGGTTTGATACTGCGTTGGCAGTGGTGCATAAGCACAATGTAACATTTTGTCAAGAATCCTGCCAACAGTGGAATGGGAAACACGTAATGGGCGACGTTTGGGGCAATTGCCTCTCTTCCTAGCACAGAGATGTCTTGGGTGATGTCTCTGCTGCGTCGTGAGAGATGGAGACTGCGTGGGAGAGACCTTCACCGCTGATGACGCACACACACACACAGAGACACTTGGGAAAGTTCATTCGCCAATAAAGCACGGAAAACCACTGATTCATTTGATGAACATTGTTTAAACCATCACCGATTCGTGTTTACGGCTTCGGGAAAGCGCTGAAACAGCGACTGTGTGGGGCTCTGACTCGCGTTGCCGAAAGGTGACACAAACAGGGGGTTGTTTTTCTGACCCACGGTGCCTGCCGGGAACAACAACAGCGATGGCACTCCCGACTCACCCCCACACACCCCCACCCGCTCACTCATTCGCTCACCCGCCCACTCATTCGCTCACCCGCCCACTCATTCGCTCACCCGCCCACTCATTCGCTCACCCGCCCACTCATTCGCTCACCCGCTCACTCATTCGCTCACCCACCCACTCATTCACTCACCCACTCACTACCAAATTCACCCACTCACTCACTCATGAATTCATTCACCCATACTCACACATCCATCCAGCCGCTCAATCACCCATTCACTCACCCACTCGACAATGCACGCACTCCTCGTTACCTTTTTATTCCATCGCTATCCCAGTAACCTTTTCCAAACTGTTAGGGCAAGTGCTGTCAACGAGCGCCGAACGACGTCCAGCATGGCACACGAGGGGGTGGATGGTCAGCACCACCCTTTGTATCCCCAGCGCTGATGTTTTTTTTTGGTTTACAAGCCACACCTGGTGCTCCTTTGAAGCCGAGTAGACCTACGAAGACAAAGATCCCCCGTATAACCCGAACAGACTTTCGGGGCAAGTGCTGTTAGCGAGCACATCACGAATGCCGGCACGGCACACGAGTGGATGGGTTACCAGCACCACGATCAGCCCCCTTTGTCTCCACAGCGCCTGATGTGTGTGTGGGGGCGGGGGGTGTTACACACCACACCTGTTACTCATTTGAGGCTGAGTCGACCTACACAGACACACGCGCTCCACGCATGCCGCCTGGAGGCGTTGTCCGCGATCTCGCGCCTGATTGGCGCGCGCCGGGGCCGCACCCCCGCGCCTCGGCATAAGAGGCGGTGCCTCGGAGCAGCTGACTCCACGTGCCGAGCGCTCCTTCTGCGTCGTTCATTGCGCTCTCATCCGCTCATCACGCCCGCTCACTGCAAATACCGAGGTGGGTATCAACTGCTGTCGTCTGTCTGTGTATTGCATTCAGCCCACCCACCCACCCTGCTATCCAAACGAGCGTACGTTATGTATTGCAATGGTGGTGGGACCGCATGCGTAATTGATTCAACGTCGTACGAGCTTGACGACCTAAAGTTTTGTATTGCGTTGTGGTGGAAGATCGTTAGGTCGTCACCATCGGTAACAGCAGCCATGATCTGTACACTGCTAGATGAAGGCCATGCCAACACCCCCCCCCCCCCGTCTCCTGCTCTCTTGATGCAACAATTAATTTGCCCTTGGAGCAACGGGGTTGTTTTCATCGCTCCATCTCCGCAGTAGACGGGCTATTGACGCGTTCCTCTCTTGGGGCTGCCATTCCGAGGTTAGTCTCGACCACTGCCCATCGCCACCCCTTATGAGTGCAGTATTCTGCCCTAAACCAACTTTGCTTTTCCATTCATTCGGTACGAAGTGACACCCCGTGTGGGTGTTTTTTTAATGTGTTGTCTTTCCCCCGTCAACTCCGATTAACACGGTTGCCTACGCACGGTGGCGGAAAGACGCTCTATATTAAAGTTTCAGTTTAATTTATTAGGTATAACCCTGTGAGCCATGTGGCTCTTGACTCGGGTGCAACCGCAACAACAATAAAAAAAATCATACGTACGCACAACTTGAGTACACGCTCTTATCCACGTGTTTCTACTTTTCGTCTCTTCACTGTAACCCCCCCCCCCCCCCCATGGCGTGCGCTTCCACGTGCTTCTTTGTTGCCACCGTTCGCCCGTTGTGCCCAAATTCCCTTCGGGTGGATCGAGTAAAGATCGACCGCCCAGGAGTCGTCTGTCTGGTTTCACCAATCACAAAAAAAAACCGAGTTGATGTGATCCATCCACCTTTTGACACTTTGCATACAAGGGGTGTCCCTCGAATCGAACTGCTCGCTCACGGGGGTTGCCTTTTGTCCAAGCAACACTTGTGGGCCATCGGGGCTTGAATCCACGCGTTGTTGCTACCCCAGTCGCGGAGTTAAGGAACACCCCTGGGGGGGAAAAAAAGTGTCCCAGAAATAAGATATTTAATTGCCTCCGGCCAGTTTGTATTATTTCGGACCCCGGGGTGCCGCCATAAGGATCACAAATTAGCGAAGCATTGCTGAGCCTCCCACACCCCACCCCCTCTGCTCCATGGCCCACAGCAAGCGGGGTAGTTGGTTACTCGCCCCCGTGATGCGGCAGATGTTTATTCCCCCCCCATCTTTCGGGCAGTCTGTGGATCTGCCCGTAGTGTACGATGCAACGTGCATTCATATCGCGTCTTAACACGCTCTGCGGAGTTAGGGGGGGGTGGGTGCGTTCATTTTGCGGAATAAGACACGGGGGTTGGTCACCGCTGCGTGGCAGGGCAAATGCAAATGGGTAAAGAGACGTCAAGCCGGGCGGAACCGAGAGAGCTCTTAGAACAAAAGCTGGAACGGTGCTTGCTGCGAGTAGCCAGCCGCCCGTGGTAGCAAGATGCATGCAAACAGCAGTGCAGCAATTAGGGCGATTCAGTACGAGCTGAATGATGTAAATTTCCGTTTGGGTATCGACATTACCAATATCAAGTGGTGTTGAGTACTCGCTGGGGCTTTGCTGGAAAAAACGAATATTATAACGCGTGCGATCGCATTCGCAGTGCTTGTAGTGACCTACCCCTGCTGGTGTGACGCGACAGACACCTTCAAACACAGCTGCGTGAGCATCTGAAGTGTGTGCCAATACAGTGCTGGTGGTGTTGGTAGCCTTAGCGGAGACGACTAATCTTTGGAAACGGCCTTTCCGCGTGGGGACACGGGGCAGGGCGAACATATCCCTTGCGTTGGCATTATCAAACAACACTTAACGGTATTGGTGATTTAATTCACACGTCCATCATTTGATTCTCAATGTTGCTGAATAACTTGTAGTTTAATTGACATTGGCGTGATGGGGTAAATTATGTGCCAAGTTAATCTCTTTAAGGGCCTGTGGATGAGTAGACCGTCACCGCTTTGCATTCTGTTTTCAAGCAATTTCCTGCTCAAATGAGTGATGCTCATCTCCCGTTTAAAGCTCTAAACTAGTTGTGCAAATTCCACGTTCCTATGCCGGGCAGCGAGTTCAATGTATAGGACAGCGACTTGAATTAATCGCGTCGACTCACGGAGGGTTGATGGGCTGAGTCAACCGGCTCCCAACTAAGATTTGAACTCGCGACCTTCCAGATCGCGAGCCACTCGATCTACAGGCTCCGTATTGGGTGCACAAAATATGCAGCAGCAGCAGCGGCGGCTGTAGCCGGAGCAAGAAACGCGTAGCCTTAATAGGCACTTGCTTAAATACAGCCCTGCGGGGTCGAGCATTCTGTCGAACCCCAGAGGTCGTGACCCACAGTGGGGTCAAGCCTTGGAGCAGAGAGCCAGACCACGGTGCTGTTACAACATCCCACCCTACCCCCTAGATTGAAAAGGCTGGGAACCGGGCAACTTGATTTGGGCGTCTCGTTACTGTGGTGTATGGACCGGGGTGTTCTATGTTGAGCAGGTGTCATCTTATTATGCAGTAAGTAGTATTGGCACCAAAACAACACGCACACAGATTAGCTGTAGTCAACTTTGCTTTGGGGTTGGCCAATTGAACTCTGTACAATCTCCGTGAGGATAGCTCAATAAAAAATATACTTGATCTTAGTGGGTTCTCGCCTGGTGAGATGGAGGTACAGTATATCCCAGCAAAGAATAGGTGTGTAATGATGCATTCGCATCATCGATTGATATAAATTGTTAATCTCGCAATATGTTCGCGTCGGTTCGGGTGTGTTGTATGCAGGGCTGAACGATTAATCTATTTCAAATCGAAATCGCAATTGATATTTTCCCCAAATCGTTCAGCAGTGGCTTTGCATGACCCCTGCACCCGCTTGAGACGATGCTATTGAACTGCCATTGTAAATAAAAACACATAGATTCCTGCATCAAATCGTGACTATTAATCAAATTGGTGGTGGTGAGTGAAATAGTTCAACCCTGATCACGACCAAAAATAGTTCAATTATTTGAGTTGAGCAGTAGCCGATACACCAGTCACTCGTAAAAATGTGTGCATATGTACAAACGTAGACCAGTTAAGCAATACAAAAGCTTAAATAATTGTTAAACAGTGGTGAACATAGGGGCCTCTAGTGGCTTGAGGAATGGCATTAAACCCATTACAACATACGAATCCAAACACTTGTATTCTTACAGTGCGATTCTATGCATGCACTTTCAACATGAATCAATTTTGCCACCAAGTCGAGTTTAGTTTGTTGTCCTTCCCCCGCACCTCCGTACGGTGCGAAAGAAGTTCAACATCCAGTACGGACAAACAACTCGATCGCTGGCTGACAAGAGAGCGAGATACCAAATTTACACACTCGCCGACTGAACCTACAACTAACGATTGCCGGCGGTTGTCTTGATCTGATCGCAGCAGCAGCAGCAGCAGCAGCCATGCCCGTGATCGAGACCATCACGGTGGAGGCTCCCACCTTGGAGCAGCAGCAGGACACGGCGCAGGCGCTCAAGGGTTCGTCCCCCAGCTCCCCCGTAGCATCGCTGCCCCTGCTGCCCCTGCACGTGTGCACGCCGTTGCGCGAGAGCCTGGCGTTGGGCCGCGTGGCCGGCACGCGCGTGTTCCTCAAGCTCGACAACGCGCAGCCCTCGGGCTCCTTCAAGATCCGCGGCATCGGACACCTCTGCCAAGTGGTGAGCAGTGTTTGCCCCCCCCCGCCCCCCTTCCTCCTTGCGTATGGCGGTGGTGGAGTTGAGTGGAGATGTTTTTGTGTTCGTGTGTGGTGAGGAGACGGCCTCTTGGGAGTAGCAGGCCACAGTGAAAATCTGAAATGCTGCCGGCGAATGATCGCAGCTCGGCAGGGGTCCATGTGAAAAAGAGCTTCATAGCTCATCGTATTTCTCCAACGTAAATAAAAAATCAGATTTTGAGATGGGTGACCAGTAAAGGTAGCTAAGGGAGAATCTCTGATTTCCCCCCCCATCACCCTCGTGACAGTGCATGAATGACGCGTGCACTGCATTGCATGTGTTTAGTTTTATACGAATGCCTCTGACTTTCCAAAGCTAAACATGTTTGTGAACTATCCGAACCGTAGTGCGCTATGTGCTGATAAAGAAGGGGTGGTTTTCATTCCCAGGAACTTAACCTTGCATCGTATCTTCGGTTAAATATTTCTACTTGCCATCGCGACACGTTATTTAATTCATGCATGTGAGATTCATCACGAGCCGTTAGCTGTCCCCTGCTAGATGATGCCGTCACAACGTCTTAGTCTTGCATGATCCTTCCAGTGCGTGTGCTAATTTCATCACGGTGGACGTCCTGTCGCAAGCGGTTCCTCCTTTGGCTACCATTTTCGCATTGGACTCGACCACTTCCCATCATCCTTTGGGTGTCTATGCACCTTGCAAATGTGTTCCATGCCATCAAGTTGAAAATACATGTTTTGTGAGTGATGACATTGGGGGGGGGGGGGAAAGGGGGTTCTTTTCTGCTTTTTTTTTCAATGATTCTGATGTCTCTCAAACGAACTCCTCCCCGCCCCCCCCCCCCCCCCCCCCCCCCCCACATCTCATTTCAGTCGGCACGGAGGGGATGTCAGCGATTCGTTTGCTCCTCCGGTGAGAAACTTTTTATTTTTGTTATACGTGTGGTTATATGCATGCACATTCAGTATCAATAGATAATCCAATGCGTCGTTACACCCCTGGTATAAGCATGATTCGTTTACAAGCCCCGGCATCCCTGACCGTGATGTCGATTTCTTCCGCCCCCCCCCCCCCTCCACCACCCTGACCCCGGGTGCTCAGGCGGGAACGCCGGCCTGGCCGCTGCTTACTCGGCGCGGATGCTGGGCGTGCCAGCCACCATCTACGTACCCTCCACCACCCCGAACTTCACGGTGGAGCGCTTGCGCGACGAGGGAGCCACCGTCAACATTCACGGACAGGTGAGGTCTGAGTGGCGATGCAACTTCTTCACGTGGGTGAGCGAGCGAGGTGGGGGGCCCTCCTGGCCCCCTTGGCCCCCTTGGAGAGATCACGTCGCGGCCATAGCTGGCCGACGTCTAACACTGTGAGCGGCAGGTAATTGTAATTATTACGTCTCCAGGTATCGCATTATAAAATAATCTCCGTAGTTCGCATTGGGCTCGCACATGGATAGAAATACGGGGTCACCTACCTCGCCACTTGCCTTCATTTCTGGCTACCCACCTGTCTCCCTACCAAGCGAACGAGCTACTAATAAATCTAGCTACCTATCTACCTGCATATCTGAGTGTGTGTAAGCAAGCCAGTCGGGGCAAGTATTTGAAATGAACAGACTCAAAAGCCAATTTTTTTGGTCATGACTTTTCTTCGATTGCCAAGGGCGTTGTTTCTTTTTAATGGGATAGTTATTTTTCAGCTGGAGGGTAGTGGCTTTGCGCTCGGGCTTAAGTGAAGGTAGGGAGATGGCGCACGCTGACTGCTCTCCCGCTTGCTGTCTTGCCAGATGCTGGACGATACGATTGAGTACGCGATGGAGGTGGCCAAAGCCAACAACTGGGTCTACATTCCCCCATTTGACAACCCTCTCATTTGGTGAGTTCTGTAGTTCACAAGATCGTGTTGGGCTTTATGCGTGTGTACAAAAAGTTGTATTGTAGTGTCGCGTACACAATAGTTTTGTGCTCTTTCATGTCCGTGTATATTTATTTTATCCGCATTGAGTTGTTATCTTATTCGTAAAGAGGGATACGGTACTTAATTTGGAAGGTATACATTATTATCATCTATCTGATAGATTCTAAAGAACTTACATTTTGTTAAGTAAATGGGCAACCTGGATAATCGGTGAACTTACTTTTGCTCACATACATCACACATTAGCCTGCATTGGATGACCTCTCAATTTGCCCCCCCCCCCCCCCACGGTGTGTATGCATACAACAGGGAGGGCCACGCGAGCCTGGTGCATGAGCTGAAGGCCTCCATGCACTCCAAGCCGGGTGCCATCGCCCTGTCTGTGGGTGGTGGAGGCCTCATGTGTGGCGTGGTGCAGGGCCTGAGGGAGGTGGGCTGGGAGGATGTCCCCATCATTGCCATGGAGACGCGAGGGGCCGACAGCCTCAACGCCGCGCTTGAGGCTGGGGAGCTCGTCACATTACCCAGCATCACCAGGTGAGGGCCTGCTCGCTTAGGCCAGGGTAAGGTCTGATCGCTTAGGCCGGGGTGAGGCCTTTTTGTTTGGTCCAGGGTGAGATTGATTTGCATAGGCCCAGATGAGGCCTCTTCGCTTAGGCCCATTTTCTTTTAGCTGCTAGTACGTGACTTTAAAAACTGAGGCTACCATGGCTAAGTATAACGTGGCCTGTTTCCTCGCCGTGTGAAGTGGCAGGGTCGATGGCTTTGGAGCTCCATTGAAGCAGTGGCCACCCATTGCTCCAAGTACACGATAAATTAACCCAATCTTGTTAGATATTGGAACCTAAGCAGGGATGAGTTTTGTTTCGTATTTGAATGGAAGACTGTCTTGGAATACCACAAGTTTATAGGCTTTGGCTGCAAAGTGGCCAGGAGATGGCACTACAGTAATGCATTCTTGAACCTATCTGTGTGGCGCTTTACATAAATTTAGTTGCTTACGTTAGTGGGTTTCTCTGGGTACTCAGGTTTCATCCAGAATAGAATTGGCAAAAATTCCCCAATGCGAGGTCCTGCTGCGTGGTGTTTTACAGGCGACCACGGAATGTGACGTTTTTGTCTTGGTTGTTTACAGCATTGCGAAAAGTTTGGGCGCCAAAAGGGTTGGTGCTTACTCGTTCAAGGTGGCCAATGAACACCCGGTCTTCTCAGAGGTCATCTCTGACCAGGAGGCTGTGAAAGCCATGGAGAGGTTTTTGGGTGAGTTTGATGCGCGGTCTTTTTGCTCGATCACGAACCGTGCGCGAGAGATCCTTCAAAGCTGATGCCACCACCCTTGAGATGCTTTCACGGAAATGAAGTGCGATATAAATATAAATAAATACTGATTTGATACAATTTTGACATCTGCAGACGATGAGAGGATCCTGGCGGAGCCGGCGTGCGGGGCGGCGATCGCGGCCGTCTACTCCAAGGTGATCCAGAAGCTGCAGGGGGAGGGGAAGCTGAGCTGGGACCTGCCCTCCGTGGTGGTGATCGTGTGCGGGGGCAGCAACATCACGCTCAAGCAGCTCTACCTCTTCAAGGAACAGCTGGGCATGGACGACGACACGTCCTCGTGAGGGGGACCGCGTCGCCTCGTTGAAAAGGGCCCGGAGTGGGGGTGGGCAGGAGCGTTAAAATTGTCTTCGCTTGGACACGAGCAGGAGAGACGCGAGCCTATAATGAGATGAAAAAGTGAGACGTGAATAGCAATAGTGTTTCAAGTATTTTTTGTAAGTTATATATGGGAATTATTTTTGTAGGGATAGAGTTTCGGTATATAACGCTTTGCAGGGTCTACCGATGTGGACTTTTGTCCGTCGTTACTCAAGCTCGTTTCTAACTGGGGATTATTTCCAGTTGCGGGGAAAGTCAGAAATGAAAATCAGTAGGTATAGTGTTGAAGAGTGGGTTTTATAATGGTACGTGGGCATTTGTTTTGCAGGGATAAAAATGTAATATTAAATCGATGCATATTGTTGACTGAAATATCACTTTTTATTGCGTTAATTGCAACCAAGAAACGTGTCATTTAATTCCTTGTCTTGGTCTTACGGACTCTACCGCCATTCGTCTCCACTGTTGTATTTGTATTTTTTTACTGACAGCCACCAAGCAGTCTCTTATTGCTTGCGATTGGAGGATGTCGTGTTGGCCGTCGTACCAAATGGCGTTCAGAGTTCGTCTCTGGAATATTCACGCTGGGGTTTACGAATGTGCACCCGCGTGTGTTAAGAGGCCAAACTCAAAGGTTTGTCAGCTGTGCTGACACAATCTCCGTTCACACGCCGACAAATTCTAAATCATGTAAACTGGTCGGGCGAGAGCAATAGTGCACAACGATGGAGCTGGAACGTTTACGAAGTTGGTGGGGCGTGAGAGTCGTGGGTTGGAATTCTGTTGTCGTAGGTGAAGGTGTGGAGGGTACCAAGTGGTTCGTTGGCGTTCACCAAAGGCACTTTGGAACATTACAAATGTATAACTTGTCTTTTCTGTTGTACATCCGGCCCAAAATATATGAAGGCACACTCTACTGTACCGATATCTACATCATTTTAGTGTTCTTGAAATGTCGTTTTTTGTTTTTAGTTATAATGCTGGATTTTATAATGAATATTTCATAAATTTTAAACACTGTATAGTAAAAGCAATATTGTATGTTTGCTGTTACGTTTCGGTGCGCACTGTAATAAATGTGTTGAAAGGCCCGAAAATGTTGTTGTATTTTTAAGTAAACATTTTGGATATTTGCTGTTGCTGTCGATGTCCACAATACAAACGTCATAAAAACAAATTGCGAAAATAATTCACGACATCTCCTCGGATGCGCCGACCAGTCATTGTAACACCCATTGGCAATGAATGTCCCAGACGAGGCCACAGGGTTGGGCCGTTTAAAACAAACATGGCTTTAACACGTTTGTCTGCAAGGCCAATAGGTCGATGCGTGTTTTTTTGTTTGTTACTCTGAGAGAGACTAACTTTGCTTACTTTTTTTGCTTTACAAATCTTGATTAAATGTTATCGAACCAACGCTTTGACCCCCCCCCCCCAAGGCTGTCGAAGGGATAACACGCAAGTGCAGTTCGTTTATTCCCAACTGCTTTGTGTTTGTTGTCCTTCCCACGCACCTCCTGATTAGCACGCTTGGCTACGTGCGGTGCTAAAGAAGTTCCACACATATATACATACAAGCGCAATCTTGAGTCCATTTCCAAAATGTCAGAAAAATGTAGAGACTTGTCTACAAAAAATATACATGGGCACAAGGTTTCATATGGGGGGAGGATCAAAATTCGGCCCACATCGGACGTGTCCATTTCCTAACATTGACTTCAAGCCCTATCAGCAGTGCTGTATCTGCGCCTTGCTACATCAGAGAGGCATCTGTATTTTTTCCGTAAAGCAATTAAGGTGGCAGAGTGGCTGCAGCATGTTTAGTTTATTTTAACATTTCTTTGGAGTGAAGAAACAACGCCGAGAGCAAAACACGGCGGAGAGGCTGCTGGCACGGGTGCTGGGGATCGTCCTGCCCATCGCGGAAGCCATGGGGATCATATCCTTGAAGGTGGCCCAGGAAATTCAGGGCCACGAGGCTCTCCAGCATTGGCCCAAGGTGGACGCTTGGCCGTGGCGGGAGGAAGGACATGGTGGCTGCGGTGTGTGGCCGGGGGACATGCGGGAGAAGGCCCACGCAGGTGGGGTTGGCAACTGGGGCAGCCCCCTCCGCCCTAGGGACCCACGGCCGAGTGAAGTGTGGTCCGCCGGGCCACATCGCCATAGAATGCCGGAGTGTCAGCAGGATGCCGGCAGTGCCACCGACGCCCTCCGACCCTCCAGCAACGTCTTCCCGGGTCCCACAAGATCCGAGTCTCTGATGCTTTCCGAGACTGCCGTGTGCGAAGTGTCAGGGGCCGGATCCGGTTAGGTGCCGCTGGGGATTCCAGGGAGGGTCCGCGACCCTTTAGGCCGTTGTGTTTTTCTTTTCTCTCCATTCCTCGGAATCCCATGGAGTGCAAGACCCTGCCGAGGCGGGGGTGACCGGTGTCAGGGGCCCGGCTTACGTGAGCTACGCTCCGGTAAACACGGACTCTCCCTTGTACTGTGGGATTCGGGGTAGAAGGGTGTGTTAGGGGTAATGGCCAGTGTCAGGGGTTATGTTGTGAGTGTTGTGCGGGTTGCGTTGTCGGTGCTGTGTGGTTGCGCACATGCTGACTTGCTCGGGTGGAGCTGTTGGTTGGTTTGCGGGGGAGTGTTGCGACTTTTTTTTGGTAGTTTTTTTTGTGTGTTTATGATATTCGTCGGTTTTAGGGGTTTGCTCTGCCTGTCCACCCAGTTGTAGTTGCTGTATGTCAGTCGGCATGGCTGTTTTATATTTTTTTAAAGGGTGGGGGAGGGGGTGATGTAGTCTAATAGCGCCGGCTGGTGCTCAGCAGCGGGAACTGCGGTGGACGAACAGTACACACGCTGGTGGGCATATACACGGTGTGTGTCGGCAGGACGGAGGAACTGGGGCAAGGGTCATGGAAGACCCCATCTGGAAGCCCCTGGAACCTGCTCGTGGGTTCCAGAAGGGAGGCGCGGCCAGGGCGGAACCAGGCCGCGCTGGGTAGCATAAAAGCAGCTGAGAGCGGGAGCTCAGGGCTGCCGGTCCTGGGAGTGGACAAAACAGTGATCGATTCGCGCGGTGGGATATGTACGGTGCGAAAGAAGTTCAACATACAGTACACACAGAGTGGTATTCATTTTACCGGCGTCCGGTCGCATGATGAGCTGAGTCTACTGCCGATCAATCTGGCCGGATGAAAAAAACTAAATCATAACAGCTTCACTGCCTGGAGCGCGGTATGTTACGGTGCAGCGTTAAGCGAATACCCTCCGACTTGGAAGATCCATTCTAGAAGACATCATCGGCATCAGTCATTATCTATCCACTGCTGGATGAGTGCCTCCCCCCCCATGGTCCTGTGATGCTGCCGCAATCCATCTCGCTCCTGCTGATCTCACGGATTGGCGTCCTCTCGGGCGCGATAGAATTCAGTCCACTGAGTTAAGTGCAGGGTCGTCCTCTACTTACGATGGCGATGCGTTACGACGACCCCATCGTAGGTGAAAAATAGCGTAAGTCGAAGATGGCCTAGCCTGCCCCAGTAGTCTTAAAGAATGGTGATAATTTAGCAAAACAAAGCAATTTACAGTACCGTATAAACTACATACTGTATGTATTTATTCATTACAATACTGTATTGCACAGTAAAATGTAAAATAAAAAAACAAGGTAAATTCTTAGCCTACCTATATGAACTGCAATTTAATAGAAATGTTTTTTTCAGGAAACAATCCTATCTGCTATAAAAAAACAACGTACAGTTTCGTACCTCGTACGCTGCTGCGTTTGTCTGCCGCGCGAAATTTTAAATATTTTACAATTTTGTCGTATCGCCATCGTAAGATCGAAATATCGTAAGTCGGACCATCGTAACTCGGGGACTATCTGTAACTCGGGGACTATCTGTATGTACGAAAACATTCTAACGCCTGTGGCAATGTTCGCGTCGGGTTACGTGTTTCCTTGTCGTTGAGAACGAATATCTGGTTTCTGAGCGTTGATGTCATTTAATGTCTTCATTGGTTGCTCTATGCCAATTTGGCTTCATGATACGCAAGACACTGCATGATACTTTTGAATGTTTACAATGTAACGCGTCTATTTGCTGCATTGCTCTCTTCAAAAGACATGTTTGGCTTCGACGATGATTTGTGGGTCACTTATATGAGGCTTTATTCTGTCAGGGTAATTTACGCACTGTTTGCAATATGTGAGTTTCGGAATGGAAATGTACGTCTCATAACACGACGCTGATGACAAATTCAGTAGAAGCTATTGTTTTGTTGAGAAGCAAGGTGGGTTTCATAATTTGGTACCAGACTGGCATAATTACTTCTGAGGATGAAACATTGCGATACTCTCTGGAATGCGTCTGCATTGCCAATTTTCATGAATTCTCATGCAACCACAACTTGCCGCCCTTTGGTTATTGCACGCTACAATTCACAGGCATAAAACCCACAACAATTTCGTCATCGACATACGATGGTCGCTGCACTTGCTATGCAAGATGCCATTTGACCAGCTGCATGTCTCTTTGGGCAGGACTAAAATCAAATTGCATGTTTTAATGAGGCATTAGATGTATTCACTTATGTATTAAAAAAAAAAGAAGTAATATCCAAAAACAAGAGACCGCAAGGTTTACACTTGCAGAGCAGTTGGTAGACTGGACAGAAGTGAGGGCGCGGGTCAGTCTACCGCAGGGGTCGGTAAAAAAAAAACACACTCAATATTTCAGGATACGAGACGTCCTTATTAATAAATAACGTCACAAAAGCGGTCCTTGAAAAGCCTCAGGTTGCCGACCCCTGACATACCACGTTGCCTTGCTATTGGCGAACTTGTGCTGTCTCACCTAGTCCAGCGTCGAGAGGTTTCGCTGTACAGACTATGTTTGATTACGATCGTGTAAATAGGTTACATGGATCTTAGTGAGCTATAGCCACCTGTTATCTATTCCTTTGACCGATAGATCAAGCTTATCATGTTTGTAACATGTCACTGATTCGATAACCGCCACATTTGCCAAGGAAGATGGTGCAACATAATGAATAATGATATTAAAACAATGTATTAAAAGCCATGGATACAGGCGCACAGAGGGTCTAAACTAGGCCTGGGATAATCCCCTCTGCCAACTTTGCAAACCGCCTGCTCCCACCCGAGTGAACTCAGATTATAAAGAATCCTAGGCTGCGTTCAATGGGCAGAGTGCGTTGTCTGTTAAACGACCTGTTAGCCCAGAGCGCATGGTACCAGGAGCCGGCGGTCTGAGGATCTGCCTCGCTGAGCCTTAGGTGGGTGCGTCAGATTGCTTCAAGATAGAGGACAATCACTATTCTTTGGTTCTTTCGGTAAAGTCACGTAGATAGAAAAACAATAATAATAATAAAAATTAAGTGAATAAAAATGATAAAAATAAAATACAAATAATAAAAAACACTAATGTAGACTGTAGCCTGGTTCTTAATAGGAGTGAGTGTACTGGCAGTCTATAGCATGGACTGTAGCCTGGTTTTTAATCAGAGTGAGTGTACTGGCAATCTGTAATGTGGACTGTAGCCTGCTTATTAAGTTTAGTGAGTGTACTGGCAGTCTATAATGTAGACTGTAGCTCGGTTCTCACTACCAATGCAGTGGACATCCACGTGTGTTCCTTTCGCATGCCTCCATCGAGCAACAATGCACAATTTTCTCCGCTATTTAAAAAAAAAAGCGCTCTCCAAAAACACAATTAGAGCCAACTTCCGCCACGTAACGCCACGACAGAGTGACCTGTCAATTGAACACACCCCAGATTTGGCCCGAGGTCACTTCTCCGGGGAATTGTAGTGGTCAAGGTTTGTGGCTTAAACCGCACTCCGCAATAACGTCACATCCAGTGGAGGACGAACGCTGCGTGTTTACAACAAGTTCATGAAATGACCACGTGAGCTTGTACGAGATTCCCGTGGCACCCTTTCCGGGCTAAGCCAACATGAACGCCCGTCGTGCCTCACTTAAAGCAGGCCACGTGGCTCGCTGAAAGTGTACCACGTGGCTAACTCCTCGAAGGGAGCTGCATACGTTTCCCGCACCTCGCGATTAGCACGGTTGGCTACGTACGGTGCGAACGAAGTTCAACATACATGCACATAC